CAAAGGCACTTCGTGATGCAAAAGATCCAAATGCTTCTAGCGATGAAGAAGAAGCCGAAGAAGCCAAGGAAGATCTCGGATTCGACGATCCTTTCTTCGCAACAGATGAAGCCACGAAATCGAAGGCAGCTAAAATCATTGCGAAAAGAAGAACGCAAGAAGAAACACGAGGCCAAACTTAAGGAAGCCGAAGAAAAAGCTTCTAATCGTGCAGAGTTGGAATTACTTATGCAAGATAATTCAACGGATAAAGTGGAACATCTGGATCATTTCGATATCGCAGAGATTCAACGGGCGGAGAAAGCAAAAAAGAAGAAGGGTAAGAAGGGAAAGAAAGGGGAGGCAGAAAGTAAAAGGGGTGGTTTACAAGAAAATTTCCAAATGGATGTCGGTGATGAGAGATTCGGAGATGTGTTCAAAAATCATGAGTATGCTATTGATCCTAGTAATCCAAAGTTTAAGGGCACGGAAGGTATGAAGAAATTGTTAGAAGAAGGAAGGAGAAAGAGGGGTGGAGAAAATGATGGCGAGATTGAAATTAAGACGAAGAATAAAAAGAGGAAGGTTGAGGGGGAGAAGGAAGATAAGGCTGATCTTAGTAGTTTGGTGGAAAAAGTTAGGAAGAAGTCAAAGGTTGGGAAATAAATAACTGGTAGTTTTTGCTGTGGATTCAGCTGTAGCTGTAGTTGGAGATGGAGATGGAGATTAAACGAATTTCTTGTAAGATTAATATATTGATACCTGTCTGGTGTACTATTAATTCTTTTGGTTAGTGAGGACTTTTTTTTATCTGTGATGTATATAAGCTTAAGTTTATTTGTACACTTGTACAGGAAGCATCACCTACTAGTAATCTGATCGATCAACTCAGGTATTGGAGGAGTGCTCGAGTACACCTAGCAATAACCCGGTAAAATCTAAATATGCATGCTTTTTACCAAGATCTTACTTTCACTTCGATTGGATTTCAGCATTGTAAGTCTTCGTGAATTGAATATTTCAAATACAGTTATTTGCAGCGAGTATCACCATCTAAATCTTATATATACGAGTATTTAGCAATACATTACAATGCGAATGTAAGATTAAGTTTTACACTGATTGGAAGAGCTGGGTGGGTAAGGTTATTGGTGTTGGTATGTAGTAAGATTAGATTAGGTCGGTATTCTCATTTTTTTAGATGACAGGGAATAGTTAATATTTAGTATTTTAAATCAGTAAATTTGGTTCTTTGACGGTTACTCGATAGGAATAGAATAGACTACTGAAAGAT